CACACCGTATGACACTGGTCTGGGTCGGTGGCTGGAAGGTGATGTGGGCCGCCTATGACGTCAGCGCAGCGGTGAGGGCCGAGCCCGGAGGCACGGCTCGGGTTGTTGTTGTTGTTGTTGTTGTTGTTGTTGTTGTTGTTGTTGTTGTTGTTGGTCTCCTCGGGTCCGCTCACGGCCGACCGTAGCCCAACGGCTCTTGGTGACTAAGGTAGCCGCGGCTCAAGGCCGCCACGGCCCCGCCGTCCCGAAGCTGCGTAGGGTCCGGTCTGATATTGCCGAGTAGGCGGAGCCTCGCGCCAGCCAAGCACGGACACCTCAGCAGTATCGTGCTCTGGCGTGTCCGGGCCCTCGCGACACACCAGGCAGCACGCCGCCCGGCAGGCCAGGTCGCTGCACAGTGCACTGTGGGCAGTCGCGCTCGGGGCGGCGTCCAATTCTGTGCAGGTAGCCCTGCGAGCGGCTCCAGTGTCCCCCCCCCCGCAGCTGGTGGACGTTGACCGCCTCGTCGCGAGACTCCAGGAGCACCGGCATCGGCATCCGGTCTCCCATGATGGTTTTGAAGAAGCTGTCTGGCCAGCTGCGACGCCATGCCTTGGTGGCGGAGCGGCCGACGGCCTTCACGATCGAGCCGTCTTGCGACAGGCTGGATGCCTCTTTAGCCAGCACGTCCGCTCTCTCGTTGCCGGGTATTCCGCAGTGCGCTGGGATCCACTGCATGAAGACTCGGCGTCCTCCGTCCGTGAGCGCCAGGAGCAGTCGCCATACGGCGGCGCCGAGTGCTATCGCCTCCAGAAAGAGCGGTAATAGGGGCTATCAAATGCGTTTTCCCCGCAGCGTTCTAGCTCTATTAGTTTCCGAGCTATCAGCTATGCGTCGGCTTGCTGCAAATTGTCGAGACTCGACCTCAAAATCGGTGAAATTTGGCCTTCATTGACCTCTGGTGACCTGACCTGACCAAAAAGTGACCGAAGTAATCTCGTCATTATTTTTTACGCTCTTTCGAACGCCGCCTTCCCTGCATCGTTACGTGACTCAGGAGCCGCGTTAGAAGGGGGGGGGGGGGTCCAGGGGCCAGGGGCGTAGAAATCCAGGACCGCCAGCGGGGAGTCTGCAAGCTTTTGGCGACTCCGACTCCGACTCCAGGCAGAAATATCGACTCCGACCGGCTCTGAGTCCGATTCCGCCTCAGACTGGCCGCAGCCCTGCTCTCCACTACAGGATGAGTTTCTCTTTTTCGGTTTTCTGTGTGCCTCATACCATAACACACAAATAACACACAATACCACAGTTACTGTCAGTGATCACTGGTGCAACTGAGGTGACTAAAACAGACAATGGAGCCTGGAGGGGAGGGAATCATGGAATCATATCGCTTTACGTACTACGTAGGCCTGTCAGGGTCTAAGCCCATCAATCATATCTAGTGTTATTGGAAAGCATTTGGTCAGGTGTGCAAAGCATAACAACATGGCAACTAAACACGAATAGCACGAACATACCATAATGATTTATCTTCGCTGTGCATTGTGTGGACACATTGTGGACTGTCCCATAATCGCCGACTTCACCAAGGCCCTATACACCGACGTCACGCACACGGTCAGCCGCCGCCGTCGGGTACGCCGCGGGCGGAGTGGCCGCAGAGACGTACGGTGGGGCGCCTGGCCGCTGCCACGGGCGATATCCGAGCCTGCGCCGCAAACAGCGCCGAGCGGGGGACCGGAACGGACAGAGACCCCACCGCTCAGTGCCGCCGCGTACCGCCGGTAGTCGCAGTGACCGCCGGACGCTGGCTGCTGGAGGTCGCTTCACACACTGTCCGCTGGTCAGTCGAGGGTGACCGGCACGCTGCTGGGTGACGTCGTTCCTCGCGTTCTGCCGTCATCGGAAGACATCGCTAGTGATCTCCGGAGATCGTCATCAGTCATCAACGTCAACCGTCATCAGCGTCATTCGTCATTAGCTGTCATCAGCTCTGTTCTACTCGCGTCATCGTTTGACAGCACCGCAGCGTCAGCGTCTACCAGACTCGAGCAGCGATGAGCCAACTCCACTCAGTCTGCACAGTCGTATTGCTGTTGGCCGTGGCAGGTCAGGGGAAGCAGTCCAGCTTCAAACGCACCTACCCAGAGCTGCCCAGTCCTCAGGACCGGCGGATGAACGAACTGCCTCGCACCAGCCTCAGGGAGAAAAGCACCAAACGTATTGAGGTGAGATTGAAACCACACAGAAGACAGGCAATTCAATGATACCAGACCCAGAGCAATTCTTACCATGCAATGCCAAGGGTCCAATAAGCACGGTTCAAATTTCATTATTAAAATACCGCAATTATGTTTAGGGCTCTGGCCCCACCAGACGCATGCGTGTAAGACGAAACCTAATTACATTCCCGAACTGATCATGCCGGATAAGGTTCAAATGAATACACACGACCAGCCTATCGCAATCCGCATGTTTAAAATTGACTGAATATTACTCAGTCGAAGGAGATTCCGGTCGGGACCCCGACACATTATTTACAGTAACGAGCCCTATTCGCCACCGCTTCTTGTCCTCGCAGTAGGCGTACGTTCCGTCTGCTGACGGTAAACAGACACGCGATAGGACATTTGTCATAACATTAAACAGACGGAAAGCAGTCGTCGTGGAATTTACAACGCCACGATTGGCGCATTAGCAATTATGGCCTCATTTACACAGCTCACAAGCCAGTGCGCCTCAAAAAAGTAAATGAAGAGGGCAAATGTTCAGACACAAAAGCGATGACCGTTACACACTGGCGAGGCTGGACACTGGCCAGTGTCCTCTCCAGTCTCCAGTCCGCACTCAAAGGCGCATCAAACGTGAAATGTCCGGTCTACTGTGCCGAATAATAAGTGCGACTAGCTAACCGGTAAACATCTGTAGCCTGTACTAATTAATTCAGCGACTGACCCCTAACCAGTGCCCATTGAATAGACTAACCCCCCCCCCCTTGACCAATGCCCCTCGTAATCGCTGAACCCATCCAACTATCCGAGTTTAATATTTTGAATGGACCCCGCAAACGTTTCTTTACATTGTTGAAGCTTTCAAACGTGATACACAAATTTGCCAGCAATCGTATCGCAAGATCGGTTTCCCATAATTTAAGTTCGAAAGCCATTCAAGTCTTTAAACATAGCCTCAAACCCCACAATTTGACGACTCCCATCTGTTGTTCGCCACCAGGCACTGCCGCTACTCAGTGTCAGTTCTGTGAAGAACTGCGGCACAGACCACGACCCCATCCAGCTCAACACACTGACACTTCCCGGCGTCATCGACCTGAAGGCCTCCTTCAACTTCAGCATCGACGCCGAGCTCCGCCTGCAGCTGAAGGCCCCGCTGAAGGTAAGGACTCTCCCTCAGTAGCCATCGAACCGCCTCAGTCACTGGCCCGCCCAGACAGTCGCCGAGACATCAGCCATACCACGGGCTCAGACGAAACCAATACCGCCGGCAGGCTTTGACCGGGAGCTTGATCCATCCCAGGGGTTATGTAAATACTTTAAGATAAACAGAACATGTGATAAAAGGAAACCGGAGCTTAACGAGCTCAGTTTTCCTTTCCGTACCCTATTCAGTAAAATTTGATACGCGGGAGTAAAGCATCTAACTTATCGCTTATGAAAGCAAGCATGCATCATTCCGCTCCCTTCTGAACAGTTGCATTCACATTTTGAAGAAATGCTACCGCGGTTTTGCTGTGTGGACTGGATGGTTGGTAATGAAATCCGAGCAACCTCTGTTTGTCTTTGGTAAGCCGATCTCCAATTAATTTACGCACATATATCACTGACTGTCTGAGGTTCAGACGAGGTCCGCCCTCACGACTGTGTGGTGTCTCTGAGGGAGTGTTTGACACGTTCTCCTTCTTCCCCAGGTGGCTCTGAAGGTGCAGCGCTACTTCCTGCTCTGGTGGGTGACGGTGCCGTGCATTGAGGGCGTGTTCGGCACGTGCACGTTCAACGACCTCTGCAGCCTGCTGCCCGGGCAGGGCAACCACACCTGTCCGCCCGTGTTCACGGATCACGACCTGCCGTGTGGCTGTCCCGCCGGACCGGTGAGTAAGCTTCCCTACCCTACCCTTTTCTACTCATCTCCCTACCCACTCTGCCGTGCGGTTGCCCACTTGGAACGGTAGGCAGAGCCTTCCACTATCTTTCAGAACACAAACGGACCTGTGAAAGCCACGTCACACCGGTGACCGGGGTCCCAGTGTTTTTCATCTTCCCTACAAAATTATCACGCCTTCCCTAATTTTCCTACGACTTCTTAAAATTACAGTCAGCAGTGAGCAGAAGTTGACGCCCAGAAGCTGGCATTTCCACCACACACCGACACCTCAGCTTACACACCCCTCCCCCGTGTGCCCGCAGGGAAATATCAAGGCTGATGACGTGCCCGTGAACCCCGGCTCGGTGAATATTCCTGAGGAGGTGGCCTCCGGCTCCTACCGGCTCAAGACCACCATCACCGACGGCACCACCGAGGAACTGATGGGCTGCTTCGACATCGACCTCAAATTGCACTGACAGACGCCGCCACTTGCCATCCTGCACGTCACGGACGAGTGGAAGGAAGAAGGAAGGATATGACTGGACTATACTGCCGAGGTTGCGGATGATCGAAGGTGAAGCATTTTAGCAAATACGAGTTAGCAAATACTCAAAGGTGGATTGTTTTAGGATCAGCGGACTGTTTTAGAATATAGGAATTATCGATGTACCTAGTCACCTACCTTGATATGTGAATGAAATATGATATTCGTGGCTATTTAGATATTACGATAACATGCCAATAAACTGTAGAAAGAAAACTTCAGCTATTTGGAACAAATATGAAATATCACTGGATATCTGCGTCAGCATGCTAAAACCTGGGTAACGATAAGTGAAAACGGGTAAACGTAAGCGCGTCCGTTCAAAAACCAACCCGCTACAGAAGGTGTATGAGCAATTCTGGCAAAGAATGAATACCGAATCGAGATATATTTGAGACATGAACCATAGGTTGCAGACATGAAAATCACATGGAATGCCTGACTTGACTTCAGTGTTGCCCTCACAGCAGTCGGCGATGGTGCCAAACAATTCACTTCACCCAGGGTGCCGTGTTGATGTGCACTTGAAAAAGAAACCTTTTCACCCCCTCCAAGCCTGAAAAGAAACAAATATTGTCTTGACATTCTTAAATTACTTATAGTTGCTCTTTTGTTATATTTTATCACATGAAATGTACTTTCAACTATACATTATGCGCCATTTTAAAATAATTTATCTCCGATTTCATAGCTGACCTATGGGAGCAAGAGGTAGGTGTGCAATCGCCAATCAACATAGACGGCGTGATTAATGACAGAACTGTGCTTAGATGTTAATTCTTGACGTAATTAATTCGCAACTTCTCTTCAAAACTTAACTTTCTGTATAAGCAATTCAATTTTTAAAACAAAGTAGAAAAATGGTCATCTAAAACATCAAAATGCTAGAAATAAACCGCTATAATAACACTAGAAACCCTGTTGCTGTTAATGACAAAAGCGCATCTGTTCTATGTGCAACTTACCAACCCCTACCTACACACATAATTTGATTTTTTTTTTGCTGTACCGCTCAGGCTCACCTAACATACCTGTATGTGCCGACTGCTTTCTACAGAACTCACCTACCCCTAGAAATATACGAGTATGTCGACTGTTTTCTGTATAACTCACCTGCCGCTAGACGTATATCCCGACTGTTTCTGTGAAACTCACATACCTACCCCTAGACACATATACCGATTGTTTCCTGTAATCTGTTTAACTCACCTGCCGCTAGACATATATGCCGACTGTGAGCGCCAGGAACACGGTGCCGGCCCCCATGAAGATGGCGGCCATCACTGCCAGCGCCAGCTCCTTGACCAGCTCCCGGGTCACCTTGGTGCTGGTCACCTGCAGGTCACACAGGTCAAGGTCATAGCCGCGGACTTCACTTCTGTTTCCTATCGCATTATTTATCGTTCTGTTATGGACATTAATTGAAAATTTGACTTTGTACAGGAATGAGAAGCGCAGAAAAATTGTCGTCCTGTAAGTTCCTAGAAGTCCTTCAGAGGTGATTGTTTTCGCCAACGCCTCCGCATACTCGTACTAACAAATGTTAACATGCTTTTTTCTTATCATTTTTCTAAAAGGGATGGATTATAGCACTAAATAAACTTAAACAGAGGTAGAAACACTTATACTGGCGCGGGTGATACACCCACTCACGAACGATAAAAGTGATAGGAGCTCATCCCACCAGTACAAGCTCGGGCTCGGTGAGACTCAGGTGCTGAGTGCAAGCACTGAAGTGGTGCTGGTGCGACCATCAACCAGCCCACTGCCCAGGAAGCTTAGCGACTCCGTCTTTTGAGGAGCGTTGTGGTGCGCATACTAACAATATCGGTGAATACACTGTAAATCCCAATCGATCTAAAAGCATTTAACCAATAGGGGACACACACACACACACACACACACACACACACACACACACACACACACACACACACACACACACACACACACACACACACACACACACACACACACACACACACACACACACACACACACACACACACACACACACACACACACACACACACACACACACACACACACACACACACACACACACACACACACACACACACACACACACACACACACACACACACACACACACACACACACACACACACACACACACACACACACACACACACACACACACACACACACACACACACACACACACACACACACACACACACACACACACACACACACACACACACACACACACACACACACACACACACACACACACACACACACACACACACACACACACACACACACACACACACACACACACACACACACACACACACACACACACACACACACACACACACACACACACACACACACACACACACACACACACACACACACACACACACACACACACACACACACACACACACACACACACACACACACACACACACACACACACACACACACACACACACACACACACACACACACACACACACACACACACACACACACACACACACACACACACACACACACACACACACACACACACACACACACACACACACACACACACACACACACACACACACACACACACACACACACACACACACACACACACACACACACACACACACACACACACACACACACACACACACACACACACACACACACACACACACACACACACACACACACACACACACACACACACACACACACACACACACACACACACACACACACACACACACATGTTTGTAAGGTGCGGCATAGTGGTGCCCATGTTGATTTACAGCGGAGTGGGGTCCGACTTTAATTTTTTATTTGTTGTGCTAGAATAAATTTGGTTACATGGTCATGCTTCCCTTGGGTTACCGATTCAGATTGCATACTTCTTAACGGGATCAATGTGAAATTGGACGATGTTAAAAACGCAGCTTAGTGGGGCCCGGGCTGTATGACGTATTAATGACGTCATACATCGGTCCCCACTTCGCTGGGTATGACAATACACAATTATATACATACATATTAGAGCTACGAATTTCATCAAAAGTAGAAGCCAAGGTCACACCCAGCACCTCGATTTCTTATCAAAATACTTTGCAACACTTCATGCTATATATTATCAAATATCAGCCACTCAAGTCAGCATACATGATCAAATGATGATAGGTATTGGATGGCAAGCTAAGGGCAATAAAAACATCACCAGGAGCTGCGTACACCGTATTTCACCACCATAGGCATCTTTGTCACCACACCTTCGCTTCGATGAATATAGGCAATTAACATTAATGTAGGTATGCCTAAACCTTGAACCTGAATCTCGGCTAGCCGCAGTCAACGGTGGCAGAGCGCAAGTGGGCGTGGGGCGGTGGCACCAATGGACGGGCGTCTTGGCGAGCGAGTGGCGGCATCGGTGGCGGTGGACGGCCATCTTGGCGCACGGCAGCAGCGAGCGGCTGTTTTGGTAAGCACTCGTCGGGCAGCTGGACGGGGTCGGAGCTGGCTAGATTCGCCAGCCGGAACTGATGGTCGTCCGACGCCGTCTTCAGCACAACCACAGACAGACTCGCTGTCCAGCGCCTCAGTCTCTCCGTCTGGTATCACACAGGGGTGGGCTGTGTTATAATACAGGCTGGCACAGGGGAGTAGTTAAGTCAAATACCGACTTGACACGAGGGAGGCGGCTGGGTCGAACATCGAGCTGACAAGGGGTGGGGGCTGGGTCAAATACCGACCTGACAAGGAGAGGGGGCTGGGTGAAAGAACAAGCTGACACAGAAGAGAGGCTAGGTCGAACACCGAGATGACACGTGTAAGTAGTTAGGTCAAATACCGACCTGACACGAAGGAGAGGGCTGTTTATTTGTTTGTTTGTTGGGGGTTAGGGGCGCGCCGACTGCAAGGTCATTTTGCGCCCATAACGGAGATTTTAAATGCGTCTTAAGTTACTTACTAATTTATGTTTGATGCTTAGGAAATGAAAGTAACGGGGAAGTTGGCTGCGCGGATAAAGGAAAATAAGCCATCGTTATGGATCCAGCGCGAGTTGTCGAGATAAAATTTAAGAGAGTCACTGTGGGCACAGGATGCCCGAGGTGGTGTGACCGCATCCGGGAGAGCCGGCGGCACGTCAGTCAGCAGAACATGGGCCACTGCGAGTTGCTCCCCACAGTGGATACATGAAGGGGGCTGGGGCGAATACCGAGCTTTCAACGCAAAGGTTGTTACTCGACAGCCGAACAGGGAATGCTGGAGAGTCAGTCACCGCAGGAGTCAAAACAGAAGGGAACTGATATTATAGTTCGTTTTTTTAGTTCGACCCTCACTGTATTTTGAACAGAGCACGAGAATCGCTTACTGAATTACTGAAAAACTAGTTGGCGCACACTTATTTCATAGACGATCAACTTCATCTAAAATGATTCCTAACTGGCGCCCATTTCCTGCAGATTTACAGCTCGTATTCACCCATATTTAAAACTCAAAAGTGATAGATAACTTGTCTAGAATTATAACTGAATCAATTATTAAATCGCAAGACATTTGACATAACGCTATACCATCACGGGCGTCGCCACCGGGGGAGCCAGCAGGGGCCGGGCACCCCAACTTTGCTTGAGTTGGGAGAGGGGGGCTGGCACTCACAACTTTTTTGTTCTGGGCCTCGTTTCATAAAGCTCTGCCGTAGCTTACACTTTTCCATAATGAACGCCCTTTCAAACACGGAGCGCAATAGAAGCGGTTACCAGTGTCTAAAACTTTCTAATTTAGAAGAGAATCTAAATTAATTTATTAACGACATGACGCAATTAACCACATTGCATCATGTCGCATATCATTCGTTTCGGCTGATTCGAAAGAACACAATAACGCCTTTTTGAAGCTCTAGCCTCATTGTGTGCTAAATTATTAGCAAAAACGTAGTTTGACCTTATTTGACCTCAGACGACCCGACCGGTGTTTTTTTTTTTTAGCAAACAAACACCAATTTCATCCTCAATTGAGCTAAACTGAGGGATTACAATACAAAAGCGCTAAAATGGAGCATATTTTTTACAATTGGAGCTATTAGGACAAACTTTCTTAGAATTTGTCGTGACCTCTAGATGACCTAAAGTCAACCGAACTTCACAAACCTGGATGTACGTTATACAACTCGGTAAGCTGTGCATACCCTGCCAGTTTGAATCAAATTGATGGACAACTCGAGATTTCATTGACAAAAAAAAAAACGTATTTTCAGTGCCATTTTGACCATGTACCTACCGGTTTTTGTGACCTTGTGACCTGACCTGAAGCCACTGGAACACAAAACTCCCAGGACACGTGTCAAATGGCTGCTCCAAGTTGAGTTTGAAATTTGGTGGCGCTAAGTCCTGCGGTTCTTACGATATGAACGATAAACTTAGCGATTCCGTTGCCGCTTATATAGTCAAATTTTACCCTGCATTGTACCGGTTTCGGTGACCTGGTGACCTGACCTAAAATGATAGACCTGAAATTATCAGGGAAGGTGCGAAAAGGTTGCCTCAGACGGCATGCAAAATTTAGCAGCGCAACGCGCTGCCGTTTTTGTGTTGTTCGCGAAAAACACTAGGGGGTTGCATCAACCCAATTGGTTCAAACCCATTGGCTGTACGCAGCAGGCTGATTGGCTGACGCTTAACTGGCTGCATTCTAAGGTACCTATTTCTTCAATTGAGGCACACTTTCCTCATAAAGGCTTTTTTTCAGGACGAGAAATGGAATCTCTTTGCCTAGGGTGATCGTTGGGGCGTAAAAGCTCCTGATTTGTGCTTTTCTCAGCTCAAGCTATGGAACTGCTATTCCAGTCGAAACCCCATGTTAAAAGTGAAGCATTTTCTTTAATGACCAGTAATTTGAAAAAAAAAAATAGGAGCATAAAAACTTTTGGGACACCCTGTAATTACCCAACTTCGCTGGCGGTACATGGTACGGTACACAATTGTCGCACAACTGCTATACGAGGCTCGAGATTTCCCCACTAGCCCCACAACAGATGCACCAACTATCAGCCGAGCCATTTCAACATACACATCTGGGCGAACATGACCTAGCTTCCTTCGGTACCCTCCCCCCTCCCCCCCCACACACACAGTACCCACCTGTTGAGCATCATCAGCTGAGATGTGGATCAGCGGTAGCTCTGTCCGCAGGTGCGTAGCTCCGGGGCCACTTCCGCCGCCAGCTGTTGATGTCGTTGTTGCTGTGTCCCCACAGCTACCGCCGTAGCCAATACAAGCCTCTTGCGGGCCTCGTAGCCGGCGGCTAAGGTCACCACCACGTCGTCGCGCTTGACATCG